ACGGCAAAACACGTCGACGACTTCAATATGACAGGTCTAGAGAAAAACGTAGATGACTCTGTACAACGTGTCGAAAGGTGTTTGGTAAGTGTAAGCTCAACAAACATTATTACACGAATTGTGCCGTTCGCTACACGAAGAACGAACAAGGGGATGGGATCGTGGACCAGGACGAGTATATTAAACAACTACGTCCTATCACACATCCTGAGCTTACTGGAGCAGCGGCAGACGCCAAAGCTACCAATTTCATCACCGACATGTTCGTTAGCCTGCGAGGAGCTCTCGCCTATGCTCTTCTTACTCCCTTCTGGCTCATGGTGTATGTGGTCTCTCTCCAGAAGATCCAAGAGCCCACGAACTTACAAGTCAGACGACTGAATGCTGTGACGCGAAAGCTGATCAGCAGCCCGAAACGCATCACCTTCCCTCGGATGAAACCGACGAGTGAAGTAGACATACATAGTGATTCGGGGTATCGGAAACTTACCGGGGAGGAGGACGATGAAACCAAGGGCTACGGCACTCGTGGGGCTAACGTATTACGGCGACGAAACTCGCCCCAAGGCAAATCTGTCATTCACCTTTGCGACGGACTATGCAAGTCACACCGACTGCAGGTAAGGTCCATCTATGCCGCTGAGGCACCTGCAGCTGCACATGATCTTGATGAGTGCTATCCCACGCTCATCACTCTCCACGAGCTCAAGGCCGGAGCACTTTCTCCACGACGACTACGAGATATGCGTGAAGTTGGAGGCCTAGCTATCAAAGTATCCCTTACTATAGACGCTGAGTCTGTATACACATCGTTATCCAGCAAAGACCTTAATATACCGACGGAACGTACTTTGCTGGGACATCTCAGCTGGATACGTGAGCTCATGGATATGGGTATAGTGCATAACGTACAGTGGTGTGACACTAGAGACATGACCGCAGACGGGCATACAAAAGGGAGTATCGATCGGGAGCTGCTTTTGGAAGTGATGTCAGGCACTCAGTCATTTAAGCATGACGTGAAGCACGTTGTTCCCTTTCGGGGCCCCGAGGACAACACCAAACCTAAGTCGAATTAATTTTAGTCTGTCCTTGTTGCCCCTGCGGTCCAGTTTGCCAGCACGGGCGCCTAATACAGCGGCGCCCTCTTACCTGCTCGGAAACGAGCCATCTTTTTCACGCTTGGCAACGAGCCTGTTCAGATTGGTTCAGGCTCTTTGCCTTAATACCCTTTTGCCCAGAGGGGAATAGCCTGTTTGGCCTACCTCTAGCCGGGCCGATAGCCCTCGTTTATTCAAGGGGCTATCCTGCGTGTGCGTGGAAAAGTTTTGCGAGGTAACTCGCCGGCGAATAATCTCGCCCTTCAGTCCGGTGGTTGGCCAGACTGCGCGCGCTGTTTTCCTTGCAAACAGTTGCGCGCGCGGCCTTTCCAGAGCCTAGCGACTGCGCGGCTTTACTCTCCGTCTCCTCCCCTCCCGACTTTAAGGGTAGCTCATTGGGAGATGTTATGGAGGATCGGGAGTGTAGCCTGCGCGTCGCTGCCTTTTGGCTCAAGGCACGCGCGCCCTATTTGCCCGGACATTGACCTTGGTTTTCGCTATGTGCTGGACAGATCACTACATCGATCTTATCCGATCTTACCCATCCACACCCCATATCGTATTCCTTCGACATGGAATTGGATGCTATATGACCTGCCAGAGTCATTTCAGACTCGGTGGAGTTCCCTATGGGGCCGAAGCGCTGTATTGGGTGTGGCCGACGCATGTGGCTACCCCCACTGGGGCCTTGGGTGGGGCTCCCTATGGGGCCACGCAGCGCTGTGCTGGGTGTGGCGGGCGCATGTGGCCACCCCCGCTGGGGCCTTGGGTGGAGCTCACTATGGGGCCACGAAGCGCCGTACTGGATGTGGCGGACGCATGTGGCCACCCCCATTGGGGCCTTGGGTGGAGCTCCCTATGGGGCCACGAAGCGCTGTACTGGGTGTGGCGGACGCATGTGGCCAGCCCCATTGGGGCCTTGGGTGGGGCTACTGGGCCACGAAACGGTGCATTGAGAGTGGCGGGCGCATGTGGCCAACCCCGTTGAGGCCTTGCATGGAGCTCCCTATGGGGCCGCGAAGCGCTGTACTGGGTGTGGCGGACGCATGTGGCAAGCCCCCATTGGGGCCTTACGTGGGGCTCCCTGTGGGGCCACGAAGCGCTGTACTGGGTGTGACGGGCGCATGTGGCTACCCCCGCTGAGGCCTTGGGTGGGGCCCCCTATGGGGCCACGAAACGGTGTGCTGGGCGTGGCGGACGCACGTGGCCACCCCCACTGGTGCCTTAGGTGGGGCCCCCGATGGGGCAACGAAGCGCCGCGCTGGATGTGGCAGGCGCATGTGGTACCCCCACTGGAGAGGGGGGGCACGGTGGGAAGAGACGCGGGGACCGTTTGTTCAAAACGAGGACCCAACGCCACAGGATGTCGGCCCTAGGAAAATTCGCCGGACGAAGGACCCAACCATTTGCAGGTGCGAGTGCCGCAATTGTGATTCATTTTTTCGGTGGTGACCCCTATGAGGCAACGAACCGTGCTAGGGGTGTGCCGACATGATTGGCGTGGTACACAACGCGAACTAAAACTATTGATCTGAGTACGTAGGGGGACTGAGCGCGGGCGAATCTGAGCGCGAGTGCGTCTGACTGTGAATGAATCTTCGTGCGAGCGAGTCTACGCGCATGACTGCGAGTATGACAAAGCATGGTGTAATTGTAATTGAATATCAATAGTTGAGAATGACTGCCTCTGAGTACTCGTGACGCTAGGCGTGGCCGCCGCAAGGAGCTTCCCCGGGACTCCCCGACGGCATCGCCCGCGCGCCGCGACGCCAATGTCGGCGCGCCGCCGCGCGAGGATCGCGCCCGCTTCCCCCCGTTCTTTTACACCCTTTTTGCCCGCGCACTCAAAAGTCCAAGGCTGCGGGCGCAGCGCAGCGCGGAGCCCCCGCGACGCGCGCAGATCGCCCCGGAGGGGTCCCAGCGACGCGCGCGGGTCGCCCGCTGCGCGGAGCAAAGAGAGAGCTAGCTGGCTGGCTGATAGCGGGCAAGGCTCTTGCCACTGAGCAGAGCGACGACGAGCGAGCGAGGCGCTGGGCAGAAGGCAGCACGGAGTCCCCGCGACGCGCGCTGGTCGCCCCGGAGGGGTACCAGCGACGCGCGCGGGTCGTCCGCTGCGCGGAGCAAAAAGAGCTAGCTGGCTGGCTGATAGCGGGCAAGGCTTTTTTCGCTGGGCAGAGCGACGACGGTGAGGGAGACGCGTGCGGATTGCGCCACGGGGACCTTCGGTGGAGTTCCCTATGGGGCCCCGAAACGTGTGACGTGTGCACCGAAACCAATGGCGGGGACGCATGCGGACTGTGCCACTGGGACCGTCGGCGGAGTTCCTATGGGGCCACGAAACGTGTGAGGGGTGTGCCGAGATGAGGGGCGGGGACGCATGCGGACTGTGTCCGTGGGACCTTCGGCGGAGCTTTTATGGGGCCACGACACGTGTGAGGGGTTGGCCGAAAAGAGTGGCGGGACGCATGCGGACTGCAACTGGGACCTTCGGCGGAACCCTTATGGGGCCACGAAACGTGTGAGGGGTGAGCCGACATGAGTGGCGGGGACGCATGCGGACTGTGCCACTGGGACCTTCGGCGGAGCCCCTATGGGGCCACGAAGCGTGTGACGGGTGGGCCGAAATGAGTGGCGGGGACGCATGCGGCATGCGGACTGTGCCACTGGGGCCGTCGGCAAAGCTCCTATGCGGCCACGAAGCCTGCGAGGGGTGGGCCGAAAAGAATGGCGGGGACGCATGCGGATTGTGCCACTGGGACCTTCGGCGGAGCCCCATATGGGGCCACGAAACGTGTGAGGGGTGAGCCGAAAAGAGTGGCGGGGACGCATGCGGACTGCCACTGGGACCTTCGGCGGAGCTCCTATGGGGCCACGAAGCGTGCCAGAGGTGTGCCGAAATGAGTGGCGGGGACGCATGCGGACTGTGCCACTGGGACCTTCGGCGGAGCCCCCATGGGGCCACGAAGCGCTGTACTGGGTGGTGGAGACGCATGCGGACTGCGCCACGGGGGCCTTCGGTTGCGCTCCCCGTGGGGCCACAAAACGCTGTTTTTTTTTTTTTTGGGGGGGGGGGGAGACGCATACCAACCGCGCCATTGGGACCTTCGGTGGAGCTCCTGATGGGGCAACGAAACGCGTGATGATGTTGATGATGCTGATGTTGATGATGATGACGACGATGATGATGATGATGAGGAGGAGGAGGATAATAATAATGAGAGGAGGGGAGGAGGGAGGAGGAAGGAAGAGGAACGCGGGGCGACGTCTTTTCAAAACGAGGACCCAACACCACAGGATGGTTGGGAATCGAGAGTTCGCGTGAGATCCCGTCGAAGCTCACCACTGCAAGTGTGCAGCAGTTGCGCGAACGGGGGGCGGCCATTCTTCGAATGGCGGGGGTCCCGCTGGACACCTCGCTGAACTGAATCGTTGTGTTTGGCTCGCGTTCCTAATGACTCGCCAGTGAAATGCAAGGCAATTCCTTCTCAAAGCGGGGCGTTCGCCACAATGGCCTACCCAAGCTATGTTTGTTTGTTTCAGGGGGCGCTTCTTGCAGTGCGACTTGGCGCGGGAGGACGTACTGCAACATCTTCTTCTGCATGTGTGGTTTCCTCTGGGCCTCCTCATCCTCTCCTCTCTCCTCATCCTCCGCCTCTCCCTCCTCCTCACCTCCTCCTCCTCCGCCCTCTTCTCCTCCCTCCGCGGGGCCATACATTTCCGACGTCTTCCGACGCGCACGGCAGGTCGGTCATAGTCGAGATTCTTGGTATGGGGTTCTTGCTCGATGAGTTCGACCTTCGGGCCGACACCGCTTCGCCGCCGCCGCCTCCCTTGCTTCGGGGGTTTGGGAGGCTGCCTGCCTGATCCTGGAGTTGCCCCGCTGCGCTGCCGACGCGCCAGGCTGCACGCCGCATGCAGCGCCCGGCCCGGCTGGCTCGCGGCGGCGAGGGGCTGGTTCGCCGCCGCGCTGGCGTTCCCAGTCTTCGCCGTGCAGGGCTCCGGCGCCCCTGGGACTGATGGGGAGCAGGCGCGAGGCCTCAGACAGGCCAGCCACAACTGGGGGAGCTGTGGTCCTTACCCCCCTGAGGGACCCATCGATTTCGACACCCCTCTCGAGGGATCGTCGATGCGATGCGTTCCCCCACGGGGGTAAGGACCACAGCTCCCCCAGTTATGGCTGGTCGGTCAGACAGGCTCCCCAGGCTCAGAGGAGGAAGAGTCCCCCCCTGCCCCTACCCTTCCCTCGTGTTCCCCCGCTGGGGCCTCCCAGGAGGCTCTCGTCGCACCGCCGGATTCGCCTCGAAAGTCGGGTCAGAGCGCACCCTAGGCGAGGTCCAGAGAGTAGCAGTATCTGTACCATTTGATTTCCTCACGAGTGGGGGGTCGCAGGCATCAGACAGACACCCCAGATCTCCACTCTCGTGAGCAGAATCACGGAAGCCTTTGGCGGCGACGTTGAAATCTATTTGTCCCGCATGTGGAATGCATCTGGGCCTCATTTGGCCTTTCCTCTTGTTTCTCCTCGCCCCTCCTCCTCCTCCTCGCCCCTCCTCCTCATCCTCCTCCTCCTTCTCCTCCGCGTTTCCCTTGTGAAAGGGCGAATCCAGTCCCAACTGTGCTCCACGTCTGATCCAAATCGGGCTCACCTACGACAGCGCTGGGGGCCACGTAAGCTCCCATGGAACAACCACCGACAGCAAAAACCGTGACGGAGGTTTTTGTGTATTTTTTTGATGCTGAGGACCGTCGCCGGGACCCCCCGGGACCGTCAACAAAAAGCGACGGAGGATGAAGAGCTGGTCCCAGGGAAGGGATCGAGACTTCTGGCGCCCTTCTGTGGGGGGAGGATTTGGCCTCGCGGAATGGGGGAGCGATAAGGGGGAGCATCGGGAGTTGCAGAACAGGGACCCTTCAGGGCCCCGAAAGAACCCCTCTCGGGCCCAAGAAGGGGGGCTTTGGGGACCGAGAAGTGCACCTTTTCCGCCCCCCCCCCCCTCCATTCATCGCTTCATCGCCCCCCCCTCCCATTCGGCGACGCCCGAGGAGGAGGGGGGCGGGGGGAACAGAGGAGGGCGGCCGCAGGGGTGTGAGGGGGGAGGGCAAGCGGGCTCCCAAGAGGCCTCCTGCGGTCTTGAGATGGCCAGGGACTGCGCCGAGACACCACCCTTTTGGCATCGCTCGGACGTGTGCATTTTTCCCCACATCCTAAGTGGGGTTATTGTTTTCTCTGCACACCCTCCGCGCAGGATCTCTCGTCCTCCTCCCTCTCCTCTGCTCCTCTTTGCTTCCTCCTCCGCATCATCATCACCATCACCATCATTCCCCACTCATCATCATCATCATCAGCATCACCATCACCATCATCGCACGATCACTCACCATCATCGGCATCGAACGATCATCATCATCATCATCATCATCATCATCATCATCATCATCATCACTACTCGCTGACTCACCATTTCGTCCCCATCATCATCACCACCATTTACCATCATCGCACGATCACTCACCATCAGATCATCATCACTCATCATGCATCCTCATCATCATCATCATCATCATCATCATCATCATCATCATCATCATCATCATCATCATCATCATCATAATCAGATCATCATGCATCCATCATCATCGTCATCATCATCATCATCATCATCATCATCATCATCATCATCATCATCATCATCAGCATCACCATCATCATCATCATCATCATCATCATCATCATCATCATCATCATCATCATCAATCATCAATCATCAATCATCATCAATCATCAATCATCAATCATCAATCATCAATCATAGATCATCATCAAACACCGTCGTCATCATCCCATCACCATCATCCACCAAGAGGGAGCCTCGCCTGTGAGTGAATTGTGAGGAAGTCTCAGGCGGGAGCCCCCTCCCTATGGGGCCCGCATCATGTTACTAATCCGAGCGGGTCATCGGATTCGTTTAACTGTCGTCACTTTTGGGCTCTCAATTGAATTGGAGGAAGTCTCAAGCGGGAGCCTCTTCTGTGAGTGAATTGCGAGGAAGTCTCAGGCGGGAGCCCCCTCCCTATGGGGCCCGCAGATCATGTTACTAATCCGAGCGGGTCATCGGATTCCTGTAACTGTCGTCACTTCACTTTCTGGGGGGCTCCTTTCAGGTCTGAATTTGGAGGAGTATCAGGCGGGAGCCTCGTTTGTCAGTGAATTGCAAGCAAGTCTCAGGCGGGAGCCCCCTCCCTATGGGGCCCGCAGATCATGTTACTAATCCGAGCGGGTCATCGGATTCGTTTAACTGTCGTCACTTTTGGGCTCCTCAGGTCTGAATTTGGAAGAAGTATCAAGCGGGAGCCTCGTCTGTGAGTGAATTGTGAGGACGCGTCAGGCGGGAGCCCCCTCCCTATGGGGCCCGCAGGTCATGTTACTAATCCGAGCGGGTCATCGGATTCGTTTAACTGTCGTCATTTTTGGGCTCCTCAGGTCTGAATTTGGAGGAAGTATCAAGCGGGAGCCTCGTCTGTGAGTGAATTATGGGGAAGTCTCAGGCGGGAGCCCCCTCCCTATGGGGCCCGCAGATCATGTTATTAATCCGAGCGGGTCATCGGATTCCTGTAACTGTCGTCACTTTTCGGCTCCTCATGTTGGAATTTGGAGGACTGTATCAAGCGGGAGCCTCGTCTGTGAGTGAATTGCGAGGAAGTCTCAGGCGGGAGCCCCCTCCCTATGGGGCCCGCAGATCATGTTATTAATCCGAGCGGGTCATCGGATTCCTGTAACTGTCGTCACTTTTGGGCTCCTCAGGTCTGAATTTGAAGAAGTATCAGGCGGGAGCCTCGTTTGTCAGTGAATTGCAAGCAAGTCTCAGGCGGGAGCCCCCTCCCTATGGGGTCCGCAGATCATGTTACTAATCCGAGCGGGTCATCGGATTCCTGTAACTGTCGTCACTTTTGGGCTCCTCAGGTTTGAACTTGGAAGAAGTATCAAGCGGGACCCTCGTCTGTGAGTGAATTGTGAGGACGCGTCAGGCGGTAGCCATCCTATGGGTCCCGCAGCTCACGTGGTTCCTCCGGGTCATCCTCCGGCGCGCGCTTCCTCTGGGTCGTCCTCCGGCGCGTATCGGCTGGGACGCACGTCGTGCGCTTCCTCTGGGTCGTGTTCCGCACGAGGACGAGGAGGAGGAGGAGGATTGCCAGGAAAAGGAGGAGGGATGATGCAGGACGAGACAGGAAAGCAGGAAGTGGAAGAGGCTGAGGGGAGGAAGGACGAGGAGGAAAAGGAGGAGGAGGAATGCCCGAGGAGGCCCCAGTAGGTCCCGGAAGGCCCAGAAGGCTCCAGGAGGCCCCAAGAGGCCCCAGGAGGCCCCAGGAGGGGGCAGGAGGCCTAAGGAGGGGGCATGAGGAGGAGGAGGAGGAGGAGGAGGAGGAGGAGGAGGAGGAGGAGGAGGGGTGGGGAGGAGGGGGGAGGAATATGGAAACGAGGAGGAGGAGGAGGAGGAGGAGGAAGCGGATGAGGGAGAGGGAGAGGAGGAGGACAGGGGATGAGGAGGAGGAGGAGGAGAAGGGAGAGGGAGAGCAGGAGGAGGCAGGAGGCAGGAGGGGCAGGGGGAATGGGGGGAAGGAAGCATAACGAGGGGGAGGGGGAGGAGGTGGAGGAGGCAAGAAGAGGAGGAAGAGTCAGGGGTTGAGGCAGGAGGAGGAGCAGACAGGAGGAGAACGAGGAGGCAAGAGTAGGTGGGAGAAGGGAAGGGGCAGGAGGATACCCCCATGCAAGCTGAAGAGATTATCATGCGGGGTCCTTCCGTCGGAGTAATTTTCTTTGCGCACCCTCCGCGCAGGATCTCTCGTCCTCCTCCCTCTCCTCTGGTCCTCTTTGGTTCCTCCTCCACATCATCATCACCATCACCATCACCCCCCACTCATCATCATCATCACCATCACCACCACGATCAGCACCACCATCACCATCGCACGATCACTTACCATCATCGGCATCGAACGATCATCATCATCATCATCACCCTCATCATCACTACTCGCTGACTCACCACTTCGTCCCCATCATCATCACCACCATTTACCATCAGAATCGCACGATCACTCACCATCAGCACTCATCATCACCACCATCATCATCATCACGTCGTCATCATCACCACCACCACCATCATCATCATAATCATCAACATCATCATCATCATCATCAATCATATATCATCATCAAACACCGTCGTCATCATCCCATCACCATCATCCACCAAGAGGGAGCTTCGTCTGTGAGCGAATTGTGAGGAAGTCTCAGGCGGGAGCCCCCTCCCTATGAGGCCCGGAGATCATGTTACTAATCCGAGCGGGTCATCGGATTCCTCAAACTGTCGTCATTTTTGGGCTCCTCAGGTCTGAATTTGGAGGAAGTATCAAGCGGGACCCTCGTCTGTGAGTGAATTGCGAGGAAGTCTCAGGCGGGAGCCCCCTCCATATGGGGCCCGCAGATCATGTTATGAATCCCAGCGGGTCATCGGATTCCTCAAACTGTCGTCATTCTTGGGCTCCTCAGGTCTGAATTTGGAGGAAGTATCAAGCGGGAGCCTCGTCTGTGAGTGAATTGCGAGGAAGTCTCAGGCGGGAGCCCCCTCCATATGGGGCCCGCAGATCATGTTGTGAATCCGAGCGGGTCATCGGATTCGTTTAACTGTCGTCACTTTTAGGCTCCTCAGGTCTGAATTTGGAAGAAGTATCAAGCGGGACCCTCGTCTGTGAGTGAATTGTAGGGACGCGTCAGGCGGGAGCCCCCCTCCTTATGGGGCCCGCTGATCATGTTACTAATCCAAGCGGGTCATCGGATTCTTGTAACTGTCGTCACTTTTCGGCTCCTCAGGTCTGAATTTGGAGGAAATATCAAGCGGGAGCTTCGTCTGTGAGTGAATTGTGAGGAAGTCTCAGGTGGGAGCCTCCTCCTTATGGGGCCCGCAGATCATGTTATTAATCCGAGCGGGCCATCGGA